CTGTTCTGCTCCCCGCTCTGTCTCTGGTGAAGCCTCTCACCGCCCCTGAGCCTCTGGCCTGTACCCCAGTTCTGTATGCACAAATAAATAAATCTTGAAGAAGAAAAAAAATTCCTCTCCATATTCATAAGCACCAACTTTTGCTAGGAATTGGCAATCAGGAAATCTAAGTAGTATTCCATTTTTAAGGCAAAGAGGGATAATAAGTAAAAATGGAGAAACATGCTCTATGGTGAGTATATATATGAATCTATATGAATTCAGATCGTAAGTTCTCATACTCAGCCAAGAAAAAGGTGGTGGTGGTGGGGGGGAAGTGGGAGAAATTTCTCTAAAAAGAAACAGAATAAATCTTGCATGTAAAGAGCAATATAGCTGCCAGGGACTTCACTGACGCCAGAGCTAGGGAAAGAACTCCCAGTTCAGAAGCCCCAGGGGAGATGGCCGCCAGGCACTTTCATAGTTGAGCTTTCTTTGGAGCTGGGTAGAAACTCAGTTCATTTGAAGTCAACAGATGAAGGAGTTTGTAGTGAATTTTGTTCTCCCAGACGATACAAGCTGGGCGCAGTGCGATGCTGAGGAAAGAGGACGGATGGGGCTTTGGGTCAAACATGTGAGGTCAAGTTCACTTGAATTTCAAGGGTCAGTTTTGATCTGGTCATTCTGACCAGACTTTCTCTTTAGAAAAATGGAGACTTTAAAAACTAGGCACATACAATTGCTTAATTTTTTGAAGACTTATTTAGGCATACAAGAAATGGGGTATTGGCCAGAGGTATGGGGGATGAGAGGATTCACCAGAGACAGAGTAGGGAGCAGAATAGGCAGACCTACTGAAATACACTGTAGAGGGAGCAGGGGTAAAGCAGAGTCCACTGGGATTTACCTCCTTGGCTGGGGATCAAACTCGCGCTGCATGGGTGATAGGATGATAGTGCTGAGATAACCCCTACACCACCAGGGAGACCCTCAAATTGTTTTTTTAATCCTTAATTTGGTTTTAAATTTCTCTGTGGCCAGATGGCTACTGCTATCTGAACTCTTGTTAGCTATCAGAGAGAAAGTGGCTGATGTCACAGATAAGTGGTGCTGAGCTTCTCTGGGGGTGAAGAGAGAACTAGGCTCGGGCCAGACTTGTCTTGGATGCAGATGTTAGACTTGGGGTTGGTGAGGGCATTGGTGAGATACCCAAATATACATCTGCAGAAGGAGAGCTCGAGGTTCTGTGTGATGTGATAGAAGGCTGTTCCATGCATGGAGAGGAATTCAGAAACAAAAGAGGCAAAGCAAGAAAGCAAAAGTCCAGGTTTGCAAAGCTAAGGGTCAAGTCCAGGATAGCATTGCATTCCCCAGGCCAAGAGTCTCCCGTGCTCTTGGGCAGAGGCAGCCGCCTGCTCACTCCAGGCAATGCCTCCCGGCATGTGTGCCTAACCAAGCACAGGGATCGGTGCAAACATAAAATTGACACATTCCACAAGCACTTATGAACGATCCCCTCGGCTTTATCAAATCTTAATATTTTACAACATTGGCATTTGTTGCAGATGACTAAAATGGGGTAACACATGTCCCTTCCCACCTTCCCCATGTCACCAAGGGCAACACTAGCCACTGTCCTGAATTTGGTGTTGATTATCCATGGATCCATTTTCGGTAAACTCATGTCCATCAATATATAGGTGCATGTCCATCAATATATAGTACTGTTCTGAATATATTCAAAATGTAGGAAAATGACACGATGCTGTGACTTATTCTCACTTTGGGGAACATATATATTTGGACATACAATGCTATACATACACACACACACACACACACGGGTGGTATGGTGAACTGGCTTCACACAGACTGGCTTCACTCTTTCTATATGGTTAATCTATGGCTCCGCATTAATTCATAATTCATTATTTCCTATGTTCATTTCTGTTCTGTTCTTTTCATCTTTTCAGTATTCACACCATACTGCACTCACTGCTGCCTTTGATCTAAGTCTTCACACTGACCAGTAAGCTTGCACAACTGTATGTCTTTGAGACTTTGTCTATTTGTGGTGACTTGCTTTTATGCATTCGATGATGTCTACGTTCTACTAAAAAAGCAAGATGATGACAATGCACTGATTTTCTAAGTTAATTTGAGTGGAATTATCTTTGTGGTGCAGAGTTCTTATGTTCTTAAATTAATGTCTTGTAACTTTGTAATTTTTTTCCCATAGAAGACTGGGCCATCTCCTGTTGCATTTATTCCCAAGAACCTTACAGCTCAGCTTGCTACAGTAGAGGAGTCTCTTTTCCATTAAATTTCTAATGGCCACCACTGTGCTGGTGGCCCCTGTATTCAGCAACCTCACTGAGTCCTGCAATTAGTTCTGCTAGGGTGTAGGCTCGCGTGGATTTTCTATCAAATAAGTCATCTACATTTTTCCTTTCTTCCCCATCTCTTACACATCTTATGATTCTTGT